AAGCTACCAGAGCTCATGCATCATGCAGCCTGTAAACTGGATCTTCAAAAGCTAATGGAGACTTTGGAAGACCAGGAATTAATAGAAATGTAGAGATAATTTATAGTCTGCAACAAGTTGTTATTCATCTATCAGACAAAACCTGTTGCTTTCCAAGCTGCAGCCACTGAATAGGCAGTGGAACTAGATGGTCAGGTGGTCATCAGTCCAGAGACTAGTAGGTCTGCTGATGCGTTCACCACACAGCACATTCTACATCAATCTCAGATGTCTAAGGAACTCACTGAGTTGAATAAAGCTCTTGCACTAAAAGAGGCCCTAGCTAGGAAGATAACTTTCAGTGGTGGCCAACAACAGCCCATTCAGTGCCAGTATGAGGCTAATATCAAAAGTCTAGAATTAGAAGTCAGCAGTCTGCAGTAAGAAAAGGAACAATTGCTTCTGGAACTTTGGGCGACCAAGAAGGATGTCAACCAGGCCACGTTGAATGAGCATTACAACAAATGTCTACAAGAGCTGAAGGCTCAAATAGCTGATTTGAAGAAGAAACTAAATGAACAGTCCAAGCTTCTGAAACTGAGAGAATCCACTGAGAAGACTGTCTCCAAACTGACTCTGGAGATACAGATGATGAAAACCCAGTGAGTAAAGTTAGTGTGTCAGATAAAGGAAGATGCTGAGAAGCCTAAACAGTAGAAGAAACCAAAGGACAAAGAAGTAATCCAGTTAAAAGAACAAGACTGTAAAAGGCCATACAAGCTGCTCAGACTTGAAAGAGACTTCCAGAAACAGTCCAGTGTGCTCAGGAGTAAAACTGAAGAGGCAGCCAGCAGCAACCAACAAACGCCTCAAGGATGCCCTCCAAAAGCAACAGGAAGCCACAGATAAACAGAAAGAAACTCAGAGCTGTGGAACAGAAGGCACAGAAACATGAGTGAAGAACTGGCTTAGAAATGAAATTGAAGTTATGGTCAGTACTGAGGAAGTCAAACATCATCTAAATGACCTTCTTGAAGAGCGAAAGATCCTAGCCCTGGCTGTGGGTCAACTTAAAGAAAACAAGGAACCTGGGGAGAACCCACCCCCTAAGCACCAGAGGAGCACATTTGCTAGTGATGAAGTATGTGGTCCTGCTTCAGAGCCAAAGGATTCTATTACAAAGCAGATTAAAAGCCTAGAGTCTGAAATGGAACTCAGGAGTACTCAGATTGCTGATTTACAGCAAAAGCTCCAGGATGCAGAAAGTGAAGACAGGTCAAAACGACACTGGGAGAATATCGATACTATTCTGGAAGCCAAATGTGCCCTAATATATTTGGTTGGAGAGCTGTTATCCTCTAAACTATGGGTCATCAAGCTTGAAAACAACCTGAAACAGAGCCAGGATGGCTATTCTAAAATGCAGAAGGTGCTGGTTGAGGAGCAGAGTCATGTTGTTGTGGTAGAGACAGAACGGAAAGCTGAGTTGCTCAAGGTAGAGCAAATGCACCAAGAGAAGGTGCTCTACCTTCTCAGTCAGCTACAGCAAAGCCAAAGAGCAGAGAAGCAGCTGGAGGTGTCGATCAGTGGAAAGGAGCAGCAGCTGCTGAAGACACTGCAGTGTCAGGAGGAAGATTTTAGGAAAATGGAAGAACTGTGTGAAAAAAAAGCTGCAGCTTCTCCAAGAGAATGAAGCCATGAGACAGAAACTTTGCATCCTTCAAGGTGCAAAAGGCCAGAAATCTCATCTTCCTAAGGATGACCTTCAATCTCCAGATTCTTCCGTTGACTACATTCCACCTCCACCCAAACCATTCCGTGTTGGAGACAAGTTCCTGGAACAGAGCATAGACATTGAGTATCTAACATATCTTTCAGAGCAATCTGTAAATGAGTCTGAAGATGGTGAGGCCAATGATGAAGAGTGGAAACCAAGGAAACAGTCTAAGATGTTTAGGAAGACCATCCAAGAGTGTTCCAGCAGAGGATGGTATAGTAACAAACACTATGGGTGCAGGAAACAAGGGTTGGATTGCAGTGTGGCCTGTGGCTGTGACCCCACAAAATGCCAGAACCACTAGCAAGAACAAGACAGCTTGGGTACTACTGAGTGGAACCAGGATCCTGAAAGCTCCTTCAAACTGGAGGATCCTACAGAGGTGACCCCAGGACTGAGCTTCTTCAACTCCATCTGTGCCACTCCCAATACCAAAATCCTAAGAGATGAGCGATATGGATTGGGTTCTGTTAAGGAAGACTGCACTTGCCGTTTCCTTAGACCTCCCAGACACAAAACACAAAGCAACAGAATCCCAAGAAAGTAAGGCCAAAGGAAGAAGAAATGATCTCTGGCCAGCAACAGCAGCTTCTTCTCTGGCTGCTCTCCTACCAAAGAAGAGCCCCACTGAGAGTGTAGTCAGCTCTTCTCTTCATCTTCCCTGGCAGTCACTTTAAAGGTACAGCAGGAGAGAAGATTATTTCTAATGACTTCCCTGGATTTTTGTTTTTTTCCTATTGGGAAAAAGGGACACAGTGTTCCTCTAAGAAAGAGGACCTTTGTTGGATGTTGGCTCTTTGTTTTCAGACACCCACCCAGGACCACTATTCTCTTCTTCAGAATTGAAGCCACCTACAGAAGACCCTGAAGGGACACTTCAGGAACCAATCCTCACTCAATGCAGCTCTTTCTTTGTGATCACTCAATGCTGTCTGCTCACAGAGATAGGGCTGGGATCTTCCTGTCTTGAGACTGTCTTAGCTTGAAGGAGAAGCCTGTTCCAGATAGAGGCTGGGCTCAACTCCTTCACCCCACCTCAGGAATTGGGCTGAGATCATTCCTGTCCTGACTGTGTCTGTATTTTAAATGTTTTAACAGGACCCCCAAATTGTTTTCCTTTGTCAACATTAAATAAATCAACCACAGCTACTCCAAAAATGACTCTTATGTACTGTAGTATACAAAAAATGGACAACAAAGTTATTCAAAGTGCAAAAAATAAAGCAAAAACTATAGAATCCTGGAACAAAGATAGGGGTAAGCTTTTAAGACCTTGGATCAGGAGATGATTTTTCTACACATGACACAAAATGCACAAGTAACAAAAAGTCCTCAAAAGAAAAAAAACTTTCTTGTATTGGATGATGTGAAAATATAAACCATAGAGAAGAAAATATTTGCCTATTACATATCTTATGAGCAAACTCATATATAAATAACATCTATAAATTATCTATGAAAACATAAAAGTCTCCATTAACAATGGACCCTAAGGAATCAGAATAGCCATTTCCCCTAATAAGATATTAAGTGGCCAATAAGCATAAGAATTGATAGACAGCATTAAAGACATGCAAATCAAACCATGATGATGTAGCATTTTATATATTCTAGGATATTATAATAACCATTGCTGAGGACAGAGACAAATTGTGACCAAGTAGTCAGGGTTAGAAAAAGAAAAGAGTACTACTACCTTGGAAAACAGTTCCTCACCATATAACCCAACAATTTCATTCCTGGATATGTATCCTAAATAAACAAAAACCTATTTTCACAAAAAGAACCATATACACAGCAGCAGCAGTTATAAGAACCACAGATAGGAATAAGTCCAATATTTACCTTCTGATAGACAAATTTGCTATGTCTATAGTAAAGTATTATTTACTCGTAGAAAGAATAATGCGTTGACATTTCCCTTGCTATGTATGGAGCTTGGGTACATTATGAAAACTGAAGTAGGCAGCTACCAATACTAGATAATATATTTTATTTATATGGGCTATGCAGATTTAGAAAATCTATGTAAAGGGAGAGAGAACATGAGCAGAACAGTGGTTGCTTAGGGCTGAAGAATTAGAAGTATGAGAAGTGACTGTTAATGACTTCATGTTGTCTTTCAAGATGATGAATGTTCTGGAATTATATACTAGTGAGCCTGTACAACTCTGAATATACTAAAAACCAATGAACTTTCAGTGGGTGAGTTGAATGGTATGTGAATTCATCATGATAACTTCGTTTAAAATTAGGTACAATTTTTATAGATGGTGGGGATCAACTCGAGTTCACTGCCATTTGACTGCCACTGAAAATGCTGCAAGAAATTGAAGCTAGCAGAAATGATGTTAGATCTTCAAAAGCAACAGAAATAATTAATTGCTTCAAATGCATTTCTTCTAAGTGATTTATTTATTTATTTATTTATTTATTTTTTCCAGAGCTGAGGACCGAACCCAGGGCCTTGCGCTTGCTAGGCAAGCACTCTACCACTGAGCTAAATCCCAACCCCAAGTGATTTATTTTTTAAAGGGGGTGCAGAGAAAGGATTTTGCTCTGTATTCCAGGATGGCCTTGAACTTACAGCAATTCTCATATCTCTACCTCCTGAGTGCTGGAACTATAGGCACGTGACATTATGCCTAGCTAATGTGTTTTTATCATCATCAACATCACCACCACCATCATCATTTTCTTTTTTAATGTGTTTTAAGTACTTGAAAAAATATGACTTCTTAATTAACAACATATGCTGTATTTGTAGGCAGATTTTCTGTCTTGCCTGCCAGCTCCCAAAACTACATGGAGATTTCATATTAATTATCAAGCTAGCTTAGCTGATAGCTTAGGCTTGTTTCTAACTAGTTTTTATAAATTAAATTAATCCATATCTTTTAGTCTATATTCTTTAATGTAGATTGGTTACCTTTACTTAGCAAAGCCCATGCTGCTTGCTCTGCATTCCTGGTATCTCCTTGCAACTCGACCCTTCTCTTTCCAGCATTCTCTCTGTCCCCAAAATTATGCCAAGCTGTTGGCCATTTAGCTTTTTATTAAACTAGTCACAGTGACATATCTTTTTCATACAGTGTAAAGAAATATTCCAATAATCCAACATGTATTATTGAATTTAAAACATTTTTAGAGATACATTAATTTCCAACTTGTAAAAAGATATCCAATAAGAGAAAGTGTGCTTCTTCTCAATAACATACCATAGTATAAAACAAAGCATAATTACCAGAGATAAGTTAAAGTGGAAGTCTTCAAGGTATGTACTGTTAGAGATTATCAGTTTGGGAGCAAGGCCTCCTGATGTAAATACACTCAAACGTGCCCTTGAAGTATCTTTGTTTTCATGTCGGATTGAACAGTAGACTTTCTTTAGGAAAGAAAGAAATATAACAAGTAATGAGAATTTGACATGGAGAAGCATATTACATTAATTTATTAGTGAGGGTAAGTTTGTGAAAAATAATTGCTGATAAAAATTTTTAGTAATTACCATCTCCAGTGAGGAAGACCTATTTTTATAAGCATATCCTTGAACTCAGTAACTTATTTAGTGTCCTAAGGTTTTTCAATTCATCTTTATTAGAGTGTTTTAGACATAAAAATGGTAAGTTTATATTTTTCATAACCATAAAATGAAAACCAACTAGTCTCACATGTAGAAAATATTATTAGCTAGATGGTGGTGGTACATGCCTTTAATCCTAGCACTCGGGAGGCAGAGGCAGGTGGATCTCTATGAGTTGGAGGCCACCCTGGTCTACAAAGTGAGTTCCAGGAAAGGAACAAAGCTACACAGAGAAAACCTGTCTTGAAAAACCAAAGGAAAATATCATTTTATTAAAAGTATTGTTTTGTGACTAAATTAAAAAGGATTTAAATTTATTGTCCACTTCCCAGTTTTAAAAGGGATATGGAGAATAGGCAGAGATGGACATACACATGCCTTCTCAGGGCTGTTTGCCCTGGGAAGGAAGAAGAAACTACCGACCTGAGAGGTGCCATTAGGACTGAGCGGGCAGAGATGGGGACACACACACACACACACACACACACACACACACACACACACACACACTCACCTAAGGCTGGTACCCAATGTTCGTGGTATGAATTCACAAAAAAGCCTCTTGCCTATGGCCTTGTAGGCCCCAGCTCAGACCCAAGCTACACTCAGCCAGTTGTGGTGACACACTGGTTGGATTTACTGAAGAAGGCAGGCAGGAAGATTCTGAGTTTAAGGCCAACCTAGAAGAAGCTTAGGCCAGGGCTGAGCCACAGTGGTGGGACCATGGAGGCAGTGGCTGCTGCTCCAAGTTGCTGGCTCCTTCTCTTCGTGTTGGTGACTGCGGTGATGATACCTGGGATGAGGAGTTTACTGCTGCTTGTTCAGAGAAGAATTGCAAGGACCATCATGTTACAAGAAAGCATGGGCAAAGGTCGGTTTGGAAAAGTTTGGCAAGACAAATGGTGGGGAGAAATTGTTGTGAAGATTTTCTCTTCCAGGGAAGAACACTCATGGTTCTGAGAGACAGACATTTATCAGACTGTGATTGCTCCAAACCACAAAGGAGGCACAAAAATAAATAAATAAATAGATAAATAAATAAATAAATAAATAAATAAATAAATAAATAAATCTGCAGGGAACCATGATCACGCCTAACAGCAACTTTGAAATCTTCAAAAGGAAGACAGGACTCCACAAAGATGATTCCACATGGACTATGGTAAAAACATTAAGCTGATTAACACCACCAAAAGTTCAACTTTGGACTACAAAATGGTCAGGACAATTTCGAGATGACTAGCTGAGATGATCCAGCTTGACTAGACTACTCGAACAAAGACTTGTGACAAGCCCTGAAATTTCCTATTATACAGAGACTGGACAAATGATACAGGACTTGACAATTAACCCCAAAATTTTCTTTCCAGAATTCCCTAAAGATGTCTTCACCCTCAGAAAGCAGGAAGTAATTTTAAGAAAATGATGCCCACATTCCCATGAGGTAGGATGGGAGGTTTTGGTTGTTTAATGAGTTTTGGATATTGTCATTGTTTACAATGGTTGGTTACAAGTTGTTAATTGTTAACGGTCAGGAAAAAAGCTGAACATTAGATTCAGGGGTTTTGTTTAAAAAAAAGGAAAAAGAAAGAAGAGAATATAGATATGAGGTAGATCTACTCTGAGGAAAAAGGTGAAAAATATAGGATAAATGGGTAGATCATTGAATCTATTCTATAAAGAAAAAGGGGAAGATATCAAAATGACAAAAGGGAGATTACTGAATTTATTATGAAAAGAAAAAATACTTTTAAAAAGAAACTACTTGTTTTAAATAGGATAAGTAATGAAAAAGTTTTGTCTGAGTTTATCAAATGTTACTGGACTGGACATTGTTAATATATATAATGGAGTTTTTTGTCTGAATCTGTCAAATGTTAATGGACTAGACATTGTTAATGTAATTCTTGACTATATATTGTATATACTTATTGGATATAATTTTTCTTGTATTAGTTATAAGCTTTTTTAATTTTAGACAAAAAATATTAGGGTGCCCAAAATATTGTGCACCCTAATAAACTTATCTAGGGTCAGAGAACAGGATAGCCACAATATTAAACATAGAGGATAGGCAGTGGTAGCACACACCTTTAATCCCAGCATTCTAGAGGCAGAAATCCCTCTGGATCTCTGTGAGTTCAAGGCCACATTGCCAGGCATGGTGACACATGCCTTCAATCCCAAGAAGTGAGCCTTTAATCCCAAGAAATGATGGCAAAAACAGTAAGGCATGGAGACCAGAAACTAGAAGCATTTGGCCAGTTAAGCTTTTAGGCTTTTGAGCAGCAGTTCAGATGAGACCCATCCATTTTGGATAAGGATTTAGCTTCCAGTCTGAGGAACTGGCAAGTTGAGGTAGCTGTGGCTTGTTCTTCTCTGATCTTCCAGCATTCACCCCAATACCTGGCCTTAGGTCTGACTTTATTAATAATAACTTTTAAGATTCCTGCTAAATAAGGCAATTTTCCCTAGGCAGGGAGAGATAACTACAGGCTCACAACTGCCTTACTGTGCCAGGCAGTTGAGCAGCATTATGGTGAGCAAACACATGGTGAAATATGGGAGAGAGAGAGAGAGAGAGAGAGAGAGAGAGAGAGAGAGAGAGAGAGAGAGAGAGAGGCTTAATGGTTCCTGTCCTAAGGAGAGGCACAGATGTGAAGAGGCCAAGGCAATGAGGAACAAAGTACTGTGGGAGGCCTGCTTGCCACCAGGGGCCACAGTGGTGTTGGGTCCTGGACTGCTGTCAAAGGCTATGTCCAGGTTCGTGGCCCTGCAGCACCCAGTCTATGTTGATATTTATAACTCCTGTTACCACCAAAGGCCCTGAGGATGCCCAAGGTCTGGAACACTACCACATATGGCCACATTGGTGTCTGAGGGCCATGTCACAGCAGAAGCCATCCCAATCTGCATAGACAGGGATGCCACCCCGAGCTATGGAGAGAGGTGAGGGCTATCTTTGGGTCTGTAGAACTATCACAGCAAAGATCTGTGTTGATATCCATGGAACCTGTTACCTTCGAAGGTCATGAGGATGCCAGGGTCTGGGCCCCCACCTGGGGCCATTTTGTTATCAGAGGGCCACCTTGCCACCAGATTGATGCAGATCTGAGTGGCCTGTGAAGCCACCTGGGGCTATGATGGCATCCAGGCCTGGGTTTCTGTCTAGGACCATATCTAGGTCTGTGGTCCTACTGCACCTGGGATCTGTGTTGATGTCCATGGCCCACATTGTCACCAAAGGCCACAAGGATGCCCAACTTCTGGGCTGCCACCTATGGCCATGTTGAGGTCCAAGGGCTGTGTTGCTGCTGAGGCCATCTGGACATGAGTGGCCTGTGCTGCCACCAGTGGCCATGTTGTCATTTGGGCCTGAGCTGCTGCTGGGGGCCATGTCTGGGCCCATGGCTCTATTGCAGCCACGGTCTGCATTAATGTTCATGGCTCTGGTTACCACCAAAGGCAGTACAGATGCCTTGGGTCTGGGCCAACACCTGAGGCTATGTGGGTGCCTGTGGGTCATGCTGTCACCAGGGCCTTGCTGCCACTGGGGACTGTGTTGATGTATGGGCCCAAGATATGGGAGGGGCCATGTCTGGGTCTGTAATCCTACAGCAGCTGGGGTCTGTGTTGAGGTCACTGAAGGCTATGCCACTGCCTGTGGTCTGAGGTGACACATGTGGCCATGTTGGAGTCTGGGAACAAGTCAATCCGAGAGGCCTGCACTGCTCCCCAGGGCCATGGTAACATCCAGGCCTAGGCTGGGGTTGATGGCATATCTAGGTCCATGGTTCTGCTGCAGTTGGGGTCTGTGTTGATCTCTCTTGCCTGTGTTATCACAGGGGTCCATGAGTAGTGTAGGAAAAAGGGCTGGCAAAAGGAACCCACGTTGACCCTAGAGCACAGAACTAGGTAAAGACTGCTCAGATAAGGCCAGTGAAAAAAATACAGTTTGGCTCAAATCAGAGCCATATCTGCTCCTGGCTAAAGGACTTGTGAAAACAACAGATCACAGAGCAAGGCAATAGAATCATGACCCTTGTACCCAGGACCAGGGAAGGAAACATCGCCTGGGTTTGGGACCTGAGCCAGAGAAATGAACCAAGGAAACATACCCTGACTTTGAAACCAGTACCAAAGAAACAATCTTGGCCCCTAGAATCAGAGTCAGTGAAAGAAATGTGCCCTGGCCTTAGAGGTAGTGTCAAAAAGCCAAGAAAGGCCAGTGAAAGAAATACAGTTTGGTCCTGAAATCAGGGCCATTTCTGTCCCTAGCCCACAAAACTGGCCAATCCCTGGGCAGAAAAAAACTAACCAATCACTGGTTGACTCCACCCCCAAGACATCTTATATAAACCGCCCTGCCTGGTCAGTTGTGAGTTGTTCTCTTCACCCTGGTAGAAGCAGCTACTCTCCTGGACTCCTCTTTCCCAAATAAATCTCTTTCTCAAAAGAGTTTTGGGTGTGAAGACCTTCATTCACTGGCATAGAGAAGAACCTTGCTGTGACATTTCATAGCAGACTGAGAAAGGGGAAGCTGAACAGAAGATCCTTGCTGAGATGTTCCTCAGTGGACAGAGCAAGAACAGAAAAAGTAACACTTTTCTCTGGAGCCTGAGGAGACTGCTTCATTTGTGCAATTTCTTAGGCCAGAGAAGCAGAGCTCTGCTAGGAAGCCCCCCTTAGGTGGGGGCTGAGCAAAGCTCAGCTGTAGCGGCTTTCCAAGAGAGGAGAAGGATTGCTATATGCTGTGGGGAGACCATCCCCCATCACACCAGGTATAGACTGACTCTCAATGACTCAGGATATCCTTCCCTGCAGAGATCCTGGCAGCTCCAGGACTGACTTTCCCAAACAGTCAGGACACCCTTCCCTGCTGAAGCAGTTTCAGGTGTGACTCTCCTGAGCAGTCAGAAAAATTCCCTTCCAGGGTTGGGCTGCTTCTTTGCAGCACCAGCCATCTGAGCTATCCTATGCAGCTCCAGGTGTCCAGGATACCTCCAGAGCAGAGGTGTCCAGGATACCTCACCCATCTAGGGTTTGGCTGCCTCCTTGTAGCTCCAACCACCAGAGCTGTTCTAAGCAGCTCGAGGTGTTGCCTGACTCCCAGGTAGTCAGGACGCAAAACTCACATTTTGGTTTCAAAACCTGGGACCAAATCCTCAGAATTACAACAGATTTACTTATAAGAATCATGTGTTGAAACCTGTGTTGAAGTACAAGGGTCCGTGCTGAGCTAACCCCACCCCTCACCAGCCCTGGGATAAGGGACCCTGATTATCCTGGCACTGGAAAGGTGGCCCCACCCCTAATAGGAAAGCCTCTTCCCCACTTTTCCTGACATATAGACACTTGGGAAAGTTGCTCCCAGCCCTCACCTCAGGTGTAGGAGAGCTAGCTCTACTCCTAAGCTGCAGAGGGTGGTTCCAGCAGCCTAGTCAGAATAACCCGACTACCACCCAGACACACATCCATGGCTTTGAGTGGACACTCTCCAACATCTACCCCATGTATAATCCCCCTGGAGCATGGGAATGGACTAGTCCTATGGAATCATAATTGCAGGATATCTGAGAGGAGTTTCAGTGAGAGTCCAGTGTTGATGGAGTATCAGAAGCCAGAGGCCTTGAACCTGACCAACAACACATTACACAATTAACATTTGCAAGTAAAGCTGTTTGGTTAAAAGGGCATGATACACAGCAGGTACCAAGGCCACCAAGACAAATGAAGAGTTGATGGAGAGGTGGGAAAGATGGAGGAATGAAGTGGAGTTTGTTTCCTTCTGTTTGTTTTTTAATTAATATTCTTATTTGCATTTTTATATTCTTATTTTATTTATTTACTATTTTTATCTTATTATTTCTTTTTTTAGTTTTTCTTTGGGGGGAGACACTACAAAGGTGAAGGGCAGATACCGAGGAACTGAGAAATAAGTGGAATTGGGGTGCATGATGTGAATTTCCCAAAGAATCTATAAAAAAAGTGCATTAATAAAAAATTTTAAAAAGGGATGTGGCAATGTCACATCATGAATGCTGAATTTTACTGAAAACCTAAAACAGACACTGAGATTTATCTCTTGTCTCTCCTACTAATTGAGAATACTTTGTCTGGGACTGGCAAGATGGTGTGGCAGTTAGAAGCACTTGCTCCTCATGCAGAAAATTTGGGTTCCGTTCACAGCACACATATGGAAGTCCACAACAGTTTGTCACTACAGTAATGGGAACCAAAACACCCTCTTCTGACCTCTCAAAGCACCAGGCATATACATGATACGCACATGTGCAGTGAAAACATGCATACACAGAATCTTAATTGAAAAGAATACTTTGGGATCTTCCCAAATTTCAAGTTCTCTCCCTTGAAAATGGGGAAATGGCTCAGAGGTACACCTATAATTCCACTACTCAGAAGGCTGAGGCAGAAGAATACCCAATTCCAGGATTTTCTGAGCTAAGTGGTAGACCCTGTCCTGCCTAAATAATGAAAATATTAGGGGGAGGCCTTGAAAACATTAAAAATATCTACCATACATTGGGCAGAGTAGAAGGTGTTAGGGATATGGAGGAGAATAAACTGACACAATCCCTGCCACTCAAGAATTTACAGTCTAGTGGGGGTTGTCAGGCAGACAAACTGGTTAGATGGAGTAGTGGGGGAAGTTATAGATAGACAAAGGGAAAGACAGACCAAGAGAGTAAATACATCATCAATCATAGAATAAAACAGTGAAGGGGGAGTGGGAACACAGGTGCTGGGGAAGTACATCTGATTTAAAATTTTAATTACGTGTGTGTGTTCGCGTGTGTGTGTGTGCATGCGTGCATGCGTGCGTGCGTGTGTGCGTGTGTGTACGTATGCATGTATGAGCACCTCTGCCACAGCATGCATGTGGAGGTCAGAGAACAATTTGTGGCCATCAGTTCTGTCTACCATGTGGGATCTATTAATCAAACCCAGGTCATCAGGCTTGGTGGCAACTGCCTTTACTTATTAGATATCTTACTGATCTGGTCTGGAAAGTCCTATTTTTAAGAGTCATCAGAGCAAAAGATTTCCCTCAGAAAAGGCCCTGAATGAAATTAAGTTTCATAATGAACACAGAGCACTTTGATTATACACACAAACACTTTAAAGATGTAAGTAATGATTTAAAACAATGCCAAGGTGACATGTACTTCACTATAACTATGTAAAAATGGGCTTGAATACTAATTGTAAAACTAAAAATGGAAACTAGAGATGGCTCAGTGGTTAAGAGCCTTGTTGCTCTTCCACAGGACCTAGAACCCACATTATGGCTGACAACTCTGTAACTCCAACAGATTCAATGAACTCTTCTGGATCAGGCATGCATGTATATATGTGCTCCTATGTAGTACACATGAGGAGATGCAGGCAAAGCTTCTATACAAATAAAATAAAATGAATAATTCTACAAATAATTTTTTAAATAAAAAACTGAAACCAAAGTGTTAAGCAATCTGGTCCTAGCTTTGTAAGTCTACCTTTCCTTTCCTATAGTACAAAATCACAAACAAAAAGGGCACAGGCCTCTCATGCACTGTTACTTCAAAACCTAAATTAAGTATATATTTTGTATATCGAATAGAATTAGGGACAAAGTTAAAGGAGACTTAGGGATAAATTATGTGTCTTCCTGGAAAGTAATTCTGGGTTTCAATTGTATTTGTCATTGATTTTTAGATAATCTGTGGGTTTTTATTTTATTAACATCTGTTTTTGCTAGCAATTGCTACATGGATTTTCAAGTGTGTGTGTGTGTGTGTGTGTGTGTGTGTGTGTGTGTGTGTGTGTGTGTGTAACTCAAGGCTTTGAGCACAGTAGGTAAGCACTCTCTCACTGAGCCATTATACATGGCCATAGTCCATGACTATTTTAATATTCTGTTTTATTTTATGTTGTTGTTTTATTGCTTAAAAATGCCCCATCTCTTGAATGGAAAGGCCATACTATGGCTTACACAAAATGACAACCACAACATGGTCATTGTTATACAAGAACTATTTCTTAAGGTCATGTGAGGTATGTTTCTCTGACATGCTACTTCTGTCAAACTTCAAAAGAACTAATTGGTTTCATATCAGTTGAAGATGGTTGCAGCTGGTCTAGAAAAGGGAGGTAGGCATCATTTATTAACAACACTCGCAGAGCATGGCTACCCAGGATGCTCAATGGCTAAATGAAATATACTTCCCTATCCAGCTACAGACACAATTCCATAGAATCTCACCTTCCTGTCTGGACAGTAGAAAGCACTTGAGAGACTATAGTGCCATTGCATTTGTATCAGGCCTTAAAAGGGCCCAAAGGGTTATAATACATACAGTTAGTGGACTTTACCAAACTGTCCATGGAAAGAAACAACTTGATTATTTGACTGTCTGTGGGGACCTCTTCACTGGAACAAACAAAGTGGTTCTCCTTCTCACCTAAACAATAACAACAACAAACATGTCAAGATAGAAGGACTTACATGAAAAGTACCACATTTTTCAAACTGATAAAACATGTTTCTTTTCCCTTTTTTTTTTTAATTATTCCTGAGACAGGGTTTCTCTGTGTACCCTCTGCTGTCCTGGAACTCACTTTGTAAACAAGGCTGGCCTTGAACTCAGAGATATGTCAAGTACTGGGATTGAAAGTGTGTGCCACCACTGCTGGGTCATAAATCACTTTTTAAAAAACAAACATTAATAGCTGGGCAGTGATGGTGCACACCTTCAGTTCCAGTACTTAAGAAGCAGAGGAAGGCCATTCTCTGAGAGTTCAAGGCCAGCATGGTCTACAAAGTGAGTTCCAGGACAGGCAAGGCTACACAGAAGATCCCTGTCTTAAAAAAGAAAAGATTTATATATTTAAACCTGGGCATGGAGTTGCACATATGCAATTCTAGGTCTCAAGAAATGGAGGCAGGAGGGTCAACAGTCAGAAGCCATACTAGACTACATGAGATTCTGTCTAAATTACCTTCCCATCCTCTACAGAACAGAATTGTAATTTTGAACTCATTGTATTTAGAGAAAACCCAATCTGTGCACATTTTTTTCTTCTTAAACATATGTTATTAGGAGTCATAAAAGGAGGGGTTGGCTAAAGCATTAAAATATAGTGCAGGGTATGCTCGACCATGATGTCAAGTGTGCAGAAGGTGACAAAAACTATGGACTTCACCAAACTCTCAAGTTCCTCACTCTTGTTATAAGCATAAGATGATTAAAAACTGGAGCAGAGAAAGTTTTGGTGCTTTTGAGACAGGATTTCATAATTTTGTCCTGGATTGTCTTGAACTTGCTGTATTGCCCAGGATGTACTCAAATTAAGTGCCATCTTCCTATCTTCACCTACTAAGTGCTGGAATTGCAGATTTACACCATCACACCAGGCTAGAGATGGAGTTTTTTCTCATAGAGAGCTACTGGCAGGAAGAGGTTGGAAGGAGGATCCCTTCATCTTACCTTGGAGAAAAGAGGTTGTAATGGGTACAGTGGAAAAGGTAACATGTAACCCTATAGTTTGAAACACAGGCTTGGACTCCTACTTAGCAAAAGAACAGGGTTCATTAGCCTGACAGGACAAAGCAAGGCATTGTGAGAAAGAATGATTTTAGGAGCCTTGTTATGGAATATTCCTTTACACTGTATGAAGATGTGTCACAGTGATTGGCTTCATAAAAAGCTAAATGGCTAAGAGCTAGGCAGCAGGTATAGCAGGGACTTCTGGACAGAGATCTCTGGGAAGAAGAAAGGTAGAGTCTCCAGACAGATGGAGAGGAAGCAGGATGGACAGTACAGAGTAAAGGTAACCAAGTCGTGTAAAAGAATGTAGATTAAAAGATATGGCTTATTGTAAGTTATAAAAACTAGTTAGGAACAAATCTAAGCTAAGGGTGAGCTTTCATAATTAATAGTAAGTCTGTGTCATTTTTTTTTTTTTTTTTGTGAGCTGGTGCCTCAAAGAAAAATCTGTCTACATATGGTGTTAAACATCCAGCCAGCCACCTGTATCCACATAAGGCCTGAGAAAACTAAAAAAAAAAATCAAAACATTGAGTCAAATGTACCTTCCTGGCAGGGCATCCTGGTGACCAAGGTCTCTTGGATAGGCTCAGTGTACAGAGGCACCATGCACTAATGTGAGCCACACCAGATGGCAGACATAGCTATTTAAGATTCATCTCATGTGATCAGAGAACACTGTAGATGTTTAGTAAGGCCAGGTATAGACACAGAAAACACCTAAAAAGGTTCAATGTGTTTAAAAATGTGCTTAGAGCCTGAAGAGAGAAAAGAAAATGGGTATAGACAGTCGTAGAAAAAATAGCTTAAAATAATAAAGTCTTTAAAATCCCTCTATTATAGAACAGAGCTGTGTTTGGACTGTCCCATTGGGTTGGAGACTGTAGTTGCAACTGCTAGAACTCAAACCCATGCTTCCACTACTTGGAAAAGGATTGGATTGTTTAAAAAAATTCCCTGGAAGGACCCGAATTTTAGACCAGAATTAGAAAACTCAGGATTAATTTATTATATGCATAATTGCTCTGCTCACAGTTACACAGGTATATCAATGAAGATGTAACCAGAAGCAACAAAACTCCTCCCACCAACAATTTAGTTCACATACTGCTGCTGGAAGAGATCAGAACATGCTACCCTGCACATAAGCCACTTTACCACTGGGATGATTTCAAGCTAAAAGAAACCATGCTTTTCCCATCAACAACAAAAGAGTTGATACTGAGTCTGCTCAAATGTATTAAAAGTGTTTATGTTCCATCATTTCCCTCCTATATATTTCTTAACAGACTTCCTCTGTTTATGATCCCCAAACCCTTTTTCTTCTCTTATCCTCTCTCTCCAACTTGTTACTTTTCGTTGAATAGTACATTAACCCATGGGTTTAACCACTTCTTTGGAATCTCACTTCTTTCTACAAAGATCTCAATAACACATAAAATAATGAAATCAAGTGAAATTACATGCTTTTTCTCCTGTTTGTCTATCTTTCATTAGATCACAAACATCAGCCATAGAATCTAACAGGATAAGATAAAAGTGTTTCTCACCCTATTCTGCCATATTGACCCAAACTATAGCTGTAGTATGTTACTCTTCCACTTACTTAATTAGATTTATGTAAGAACTAAGAATAAGTTTATTTTATACTGCATATTGTTTGTACAACATAATTTTTCAGTGTTATTATTAAATTTGTCTATGTAAGCATCAGTGTAAACAGCCTCCCGATGATTATAGTTTGAAATCAGTATTTCTTTGCCTCATGTGCAAGCACCTCTATGAAATGCACCAGCTCCCAGTCTTTCAGAATAGTTTGATTGTATCCCTTCTTTCACATCAGATTGAACTATGCACTGCTTCCCTCACATATTCTGCAATTTACTACCTCCAAACTATTGTTTATCATGTGTCCTGATACTGCTTTTGAAACATACACTTTCTCATATGTGCATATGCAAATTTTACCCACTTTAAAGACCTAGACAGACTGTTTGCTTTTATATAAAGCTGGCCCTAACAACCTGCTTTTCCACAGCCAGATACAATCACTCTTTTCTCTGACACCTCTCCTTCTATGACTCTCCAATGTTGGCTTATATCTACAGATATGTCAGAAATCCCCTACTACAAAGTTTGGAACTAAAAACTGGAACAATTCATATCTCATCAAATTCTGCAACACATTTGTGAATAGAAAGTCTCAATTCTTCTATCTATCCATTTATTAAACACCACTGTATTCTAGCATGCATTCTAGGATGCAGAAAGAACTCAAAAATGTGTACACAATGGAAGGAGGTTTTTTTTTCCTTAACAAATTTTTTCTATTCTGAATGTTTTGTGAACTAATTCTTTTTGTTTGTTTCTTTGGTTGTTTGGGTTTTTTATTGGTTTGTTTTGTTTTGTTTTTATGGGACTGTCTCAAATCTTTTTTTATTCATTTCTATTCATTTTACATATCAACCACAGATTCCCCTGTCTTGCCTCCTCCCAACTCCAGCCTTCCCCCAAAGCCCACCCTCCATTCCCACCTCCTCCAAGGCAAGGTCTCCCCTTGGGAGTCAGCCAAGCCTGGTATATTCAGATGAGACAGGTCCAGTCTCTTCCTCCCTGCACCAAGGCTGCACAAAGTGTCTCAGCATAGGCACTAGGTGCCAAAATCAGGCTCATGCACTAAGGACAGTTTCCATTCTCACTGCCTGGGGGCCCCCTAAACAGTTCAAGCTAAACAACTTTTTCACTTATCCAGAGGGCCTAGGGGCTCCTCAGCTATTGGTTCACAGTTCACGTGTTTCCACTAGTTTAGCTAGTTGTCTCTGTATTTTTTCCAATCATGGTCTCTATATCTCTTGCTTATAGAATCCATCGATTGGACTCCTGGAGCTCTGCCGGGGGGTTGGCTGTGGATGTCTTCATCTGCTTCCATCAGTCACTGGATGAGGGTTCTATCATGACAGGGTGTTCAACCATCCGATCACCAGAGTAGGTCAGCTCAGGCACCCTCTCAACCATTGCCAGTAGTCTACAGTGGAGTCATCTTTGTGGATTTATCATGGTATCTCTTTCCTTGTTCTCCTACCTTGTTCCTGATCCAGCTAGGATCTCCCACTCCCCTAAGCTCTCTTTCCCACAACCTTTACCCTCCATTACCCCCTCACACACCCAGTTTGATCATGTAGATCTCATCCATTTCTCTGTTGCTGTGCCATCCCTGTGTCTTTCCTAGGGTCCTCTTTACTAGATAGCCTCCCTGGAGCTGTGAGTTACAGTCTGGTTATCTTTGCTTCACATCTAGTATCCACTACGAGTGAGTACATACCATGTTTGTCTTTCTGAGTCTGGGTTACCTCACTCAGGATATTTTCTAGTTTCATCCATTTGCCTGCAAACCTCATAATGTCATTGTTTTGAGTAGTACTCCATTGTGTATGTACCACATTTTATTTATTCATTCTTCAGTTGAAGGGCATCTAGGTTGTTTCCAGATTCTGGCTATTACAAATAATGCTGCTATGAACATAACTGAGCATGTGTCCTTGTGGTAAGATTGAGCATTTCTTAGGTATATGCCCAAGAGCGGTATAGCTGGATCTTCAGAGAGAGTGATTTCCAATTTTCTGAGAAAGCATCATACTGATTTCCAAAGTGGTTGTACTGAGTTTGCATTCCCACCAACAGTGTAGCAGTGTTCCCCTTGCTCCACATCCTCTCCAATGGAAGCTGTCTTCAGTGTTTTTGATCTTAGCATTCTGACAGGTGTAAGATGGTATCTCAGAGTCGTTTTGATTTGCATTTCCCTGATGACTAAGGATGTTGAGCAATTCCTTAAATGTCTTTCAGCCATTTGAGATTCTTCTGTTGAGATTTCTCTGTTTAGCTCTATAGCCCATTTTTAAATTGGACTGTTAAGT